TTTTTGTTGTTGTTGTTTCTCAAATAATCAGAATGCCAATTTGTAGTTGTATGAAACAGATACTCTTGGTTGAATTAAGTTATTGGGGGTAAGGATGGAGGGAACCAGCTTTCCCCCTTGGTTTGCTGGCAGGTGGTAGTCAATGCTTCGTCAAGATTAACATTCAACTATGACCTCAAGACTTACCTCACAAATACCCCCAATGCAACTGTGTTCAAACTCTTCATCAGCACCGGCAGAAATGACGTCAACCTTAAAGGTAAGGAACGTCTCTGCAGGTCTCCTGATTATATCCATCTTCCTATGTGTCCCTCGGTTATTTTACTCCTTTAGATTAATATGTTTTCTTTTATTGGCTGTGCATAGTAGCACATACCCGTAATGCTAACATGTGAAAAGCTAAGATACAACCTTTGAAGCATGTTCAAGGACATACTGATTCTCTCAAAAAACTAAAACAACAGCTGGGTGGTGGTGGCACACACCTTTAATCCCAGCACTCGGGAGGCAGAGGCAGTAGGCAGAGGAATCTCTGTGAGTTCGAATCCAACCTGATCTTCAAAGAACTCGTTTCAGGACAGCTAGGAGTGTTACACAGAGAAAGCCTGTCTAAAAAAAAAAAAAAAAACTAAGACAACAAAAAAATTCATTTTACTTCAAAATTGACTCCAATTTTTATAAAGGTTTTTATTATTTTTAATTATGTGTAGGTATATGGGTATATGCATATGGGTGCAGGTGCCCTTGGTGGCCAGACATGTGACATGGGTGCTTGGAACTAAACTTGGTCCTCTAGAAGAGCAATAGCTTATGTTGAGCCATCTCTCTAACACAGTGGTTCTCAACCTAGGAGCTGGGACCCCCTTGGGGTCAAATAACCCTTTCATAGGGTCGCCTAAGAGCCGTGGAAAACACAGATAATCTACATTACAATTCATAACAGTAGCAGAACTACAGTTATGAAGTAGCAACAAAAATAATTTTAGGATGGGGGTTACCACATGAGGACCTGTATTTAAAGGGCTGCAGCACTGGGAAGGTTGAGAACCACTGCTCTAGCCCTTAACTCCATCCTGGCACAGAAACTGAAATCAATGAGATTTCAAAAATTATGACTGGCCGGGCGGTGGTAGCACTTGGGAGGCAGAGGCAGGTGGATCTCTGTGAGTTCAAGACCAGCCTGGTCTACAAGAGCTAGTTCCGGGACAGGCACCAAAGCCACAGAGAAACCCTGTCTCGAAAAACCAAAAAAAAA